GAAGTGCATCAGCACGCTGCGGCAGCAGGAGGACTACACAGGTGCTGGACTAATGCGGACATGGTTGGCTGGTGGGTTCTACTGTCAAGAGCGGCTACATCAGGTACGAGCAGTACAAAGCCCACTCTGTGCCATGTGTGGCGTGGAAGCTGGCACAGATACCCACCGCATTTCCAGGCGTGACTGGCGCGCGCTGGAGCGGCACAATTGGACTGGTGAGGAGCGTATTCTACTGACGTGGGGACGTACAGGGCACGGGCAAGGGCATCCCACCACGATGATGACTACCAAAGGGCCCATGCCGGATCCGATTTTCTATGCGCCGTTGCCAACCTTCGATGACATTCTCAATTGGCACAAGTGCACGGTTACTCGGTTAATCAGCGGTGTGGTGTGCACAGATGGCAGCTGAATCCTTCCCCACTGTGAAGTTCGAGCTAGAGCGGGCTGGGCGTTTGTGATGATTGATGAGGCAGGAGCTACAGTGGCGGTTGCATCTCGGCCAGTGCCTTATCCTTGGCAGACATCTGGAACAGGCGAGATCAGGGCGGCCACGAAAGCTTTGAAGCACAAGTCAGCTGGGCACATCACGATTGTAACCGACTGCGAAGATCTCAAGAAGGGATGGGCACACGGTTATCCGCATGGGTGCAATGTTGGCCATCAGTACATGGAGCCATGGAAAGATTTCTGGCAAGTCGCACTAGACATTGGCGTTGCAGAGATTGAAGTTGTCTGGATCCCTTCGCACATGTCAAGGACCAGGGCCATCGACCAAGGAGTCTGCTTGCCCTACTGGACAGGTGACAAGAGTGCATATTATTTTGCAGGGCTGGGCGCCGACTGCCATCCCCGGGAGAAGTCCAATGAGAAGTTGCGGAAGATGCGCGGGGCGGCTGCACGTTTGACTTTGAAGTGCGCGCTGCGCATTCTGCGGCTGTGTCAAAAGGGCGGCTGGAAGGACGTCCAGCAAGTGAGCGAAGGAAGACCCGCGCGCGGGACTCATGTCGCCCCAAGCGAGGACGGAGGCCATGTAATTCACAGGTTTAAGGGACGATGGGCGTGCGGAAGGTGCGGAGATTGCCGCGCTCGTCGCGGAGACCTCGCGCGCCTCCCCTTGTCTTGGGGATCTCAAAGGGGCCCGAGAAGCGCGCCCGCCCCATAGGCTTTGGCGCAGTGGCCCAAACTGTTCGGTGTTTTGAATGCGCCGCCAGATGTGTGTCTAGGGCGTTTTCGATGTCCAAACCGCGCTTGGGGAGACCGCCCCTGGGGCCCGCGAGGCACTTCAAGAGAAGGTACCTCATCCAGGGGCGGGGCCCCTCAGGCGAGAACCTGGTTTGGTTTCAAGAGGCCTGCTCCGATTTTCGCTCGGGTCGTTCGTCGAGCGTTCGACGGGATTATGAGTATTGGTGTTTGGCCTGGCGCATCGTTCTCGTCACACCTCGTCGTCATCCAGAGTCTCCAGAGCCCCCTCCTTCGCCGCCCCCTCTTCCTTTCGTCAAAGGGCAACCTTAGCAGTGGAATGTCAATCTAAACGGTGAAATACACTATGATGCACAGTGCTGTCTATTTGGCGTTCTCTTCGCAGTGCTGTCTACATGGAGTTTGGTACGGAGTGTGTTATGCGCAGTGCTCTCTACGTAGAGTGTCCGACGTAGTCTGCTCTACGCAGCGCGTTCTACGTAGTCGCGTGTTCTACGCGTACGGAGCTGTGTGTTCTACGCAGTAGTGTGTCCCACGTAGTGTGTAACACGTAGTTGTGTTTCGTCGTAGTGTGCTCTATGTAGCTACGATTTGCATGTAATGTGTTATACGCAGTGTGTTCTAAACAGTTGTGCGTTCTACGTAGTTGCATGCTTTACGTGCTGCGTTCTACTTCGTAGTATGTCCTACGCGGTGTGTTATACGTGGTGGTTCACCCGTGGTGTGTTCTACGTAGCGTGTTATACGTAGTGTTTTCTACGTAGTGTGACATGCGCCGTATGTTATACGTAGATGTGTGCTTTACGCAGTGTGTTCCACGTAGTTGTATGTGCCACGCAATTGTTGTGATTTACGTAGCTGTGTGTTCTACACTATTGTGTATTCTACGCAATTGGATGTTCTACGCAGTTGTGTGCGTTATACGAAGGTGTGTGTGCATGCTCTGCTTAGTTGTGCTCTACGCAAGTGTGTGTGTGTTCTACGCTGTTGTGCTCAACGCAGTTATGTGTTCTGCAAAATTGTGCTACGCAGTGGTGTGCTCTGCGCATGCCAGAGTTTTGGATAGGTGAGACTCCCCGCTTGCTCCTTTTTATCAGATTCCCCCCACTCCCTCCCAAATTCCCTATATTCCCGCACGTGCTCCTACATTGTCTCCCCTCCTCCTTCCTACCCCTTACTTCCTACTGCTCACCTGCTTATTCCTGGGGCGCTCAGTAAGAATTCCCACTGAAGTTCCTAGTCGTGCTTCCTACTTTGCCTGTTAGAAGTAATTCTTATAGAGATTAGTAAAAGGGAT